TCAAACAAGATGCATGGCTTCAATACCCATCTTAACCTCAACGATGCTAGAATAACAGACACTTCCCTCTTGCTCCATGAAAGCCCCATTCTAGAGCTTAGGACTTACAAACCAATGAGGTTTTATAGCTTTCATCTTGATCAATGGCTCCTTTTTCAACAAAGAGAGGCCTACAATAACTTGTTTTAAACTTATCAGGATGGATCCATTTATGATGTAGGAAGAATTTATGATGGATCCATTTATGATGTAGGAAGAATTTTGCAGGGAAGAAAATCAAATAATTTACTGATTCAAAATTATATCAACCCTAGCTTCAATGGCTCTACGGAATTCATAAGAACTCAACGAAAAAGTGTTTCTAAACAGTAACTCAAATATTTATTATAAAGTCTCTACATAGACGCTATTTATAACAAAAGACCTTTCTTACAACCCAAGGAATCCTAATTCTAATAGAAATAAAAGCCCTAATTAAAATAGAATTCGTAATGATATTTTTACCATTGATAAACAAGTAATTCCATAAGCACTCTAACTACTTCCTAAAAAATTTCCAAAATCCAATTAATATTAAAAACTCCTAGAATCCTAAAAAAAAATTAAAAATCTTAAAAAATAACCTCAAAAAAATCCAAAATTACATCACTAAAATTTAATAAGAAAAAATAAAAAATACGAGGCATCTTGTCCTCCATCAATCTCCCCTAGTTGGAGAAAACTCATCCTTGAGTTTTGAAATAGGCTAAGATGAATTCAGTATCAAAACCTCCTTCAACGTCTTCTTCTTTGTTGGCTCAAATATTACTAGTGGTAAGAAGAAATCCTCAAGAAACATATCCTACTATCCATATTCAAAAATCAATACAAATTTTATGAAATTTGGCTATCCTTGAACTTACAATGAAAATCGTGTACAAAACTTCAAAATCAATTCTCATGCCTTAAGAGGCTTTTTTGACATCTATTCCATTACTCTCTAAATCAAGGCCCACATTTTGTGGTTTATGAATCAACCACATTTCCACTATACTATAATTTCAATGCCCTAAATCTTTTGAATGCTCCACCTCTTCGATGTGCTTGAGATCTTTATCTTGAACCTTATCACTGATCGGACTTCCGGAGAGATCTTTATGTTCATATGAGCATGTATTGAAGATTGGTGGCGAATCTCAATCTACAACCTGCTGATTTTGGAAACAACTTCATGAAACTAAAGATTTTCTATAGGCAGGCTTCCTAAATATCACAAACCATATTAGACTCACAAATAGCTAGATCGCCTATCATCTAGTTATGGTCATTAACTTGTTAAAATCAGGAATGTCCACCTTCATGTTGGAAACCCTAGAGTATGGTCCCCACATCAAGTTCTTAGGTCACTCTCCACCTCACTTGACTCCTCTGAGAACGTAGGTGAAAAGGGTTGTACTCGACATCTTCTTGGCGGAAAAAACAACAACCTTGCCCATGAGTAATGTCTGAGAATTGTTGTACAAGTTGTTGAACCTGCCTTCTAAGGTCTTTCATTTCTTCATCTCCGGTATTGCAAAGTAGATCCCACAGAACTCCACTTCCTCGACGTCTTCTTGTTGCTATGGCTTCACCAAAATCACAAACCCTAGGCCGATAAAAAACACGGCCCTTAACAATCACAAAACCCTACACTCTAATACCAATTAATGTAGGAAGAATATCATAAGGAAGAAAATCCAATAATCTATTGATTGGAAAATTAAAGAAGCTAACAAGCCTAGCTTAAGCACTCTCCAAAGTCCACAAGAACTCAAGAAAACAGTCTTTCTCAATAATAACTCAAATCTCTCTTCTAAATTCTCTACATAGGCCCTTAGTTACAATAAAAAACCTTACTAAAACAAAAACAAATAATTCTAGTTAGAACCCTATAAGTGCTAATTCTTATAGAAATAAAATCCCTAATTAAAATAAAAACTTTAATGACATTTTAACCCCCTAACAAAAACAAATAATTCTATAAGCACTCCAACTACTACTCTAAACAATTACTAAATCCTAAAAAAAAAACCCTAGAATCCCAAAAAAAATTAAAAATCCTAAAAATAATCCTAGAAAATTCCAAAAATACACCCTTAAAATTTCACAATAAAAATTCAAAAATAAGAGCCATGTTGTCCTGCATCAATTTATCATGTAAACACTTACATAAAATCATTAAAAATGGTTCTTTGATCAATATCCATTGTACAAATTGTAATCTACTTTTATTTATAGTATATCTTTAGTGTTTTTTGACTTGGTATATTGCAACCTCAAAACCGTATCTGATTTTGAGGGATTCAGCTCTCTAAAATATTGTTCAAAGATGACATTCGTGAAACCATGGTTTGAGTAATGAGCAATTGAAGCACCTGAAATTCAACTACTTTTAAAGCCTGGAGTATATCAAATTTCATGCCCCAAATCTTCTCTCCTTGTTCATGGTGATTGTTTTGATGAAGAAACATTTAGAAAAAAAACCCTCAAAAGGGCTTTTCTTCATCTCCATTGACTGAAGGCCATTGAGCAGGCTTGATAGCATCAACCAAAAGGTTGCTCCCTTCCAAGGTAACCTTCAATTCTCTTCTCTTTGTTCTTCCCTTCTCGTTTCCAAACTCTTCTTTCTCCCTCTTCCTCATTTTCCATATTATTTTCTTCTTTCTAATTCTTTCTCGCTTTCCCTTCTTATTCCCTTCCTCGTTCCCATTCTCTTTGCCCTTCCTTATTCTCTTTGTATTCTCATCTTTTTCCTATTTCTCCTTTCTCTTTTCATGTTTTCTTCTTTCTTCTTCTATATTCATCCTACCTTAAACCACCAAACACCATGTGCCCTGTCCAAAATCCACAGAAACCCTAAATAAACCATCTGCCCTCCCTAAAATTGGACCCAAACAAATCCTTCAAAAATCCAAACCTTGGTTCCTTCTCTAAACTCAAAACCCTAGATCTAATAGCAGGGTTCCTTCCAGAATTCATTCAAGGCTATTCTACACCTTCTTCTTCACTTTAAGTTTTAGATTAGCCTTGGATTTGATTGGAAACCAATTTCATTCGACTGATTTTGCTAAAGGACAGATTCCAATCCATTCTAGATTCAAAATCTCATCTCAATTAAATTAAGGAGAATTCCCAGTTTGCATGTTTGATTTACTGAAGTTGCTTATATAGTTTGATAGCTTTTAGACTCGTTCAAACTTATATGGTTCCCTAGACTTGATTCCAGTCTAGTAATCCAAGACTAGTGAGTGGTTAATCATAAGTTAAATCACATATTGGAACAACAATGACTAACTTTCTCCTCATAACTATAAAATATCAATATCAGGTAGTCCAAACATCACAGGTAGTCCAAACGTCACGCATAACCTATGTAAGAGAGGACTAGACCTCAAGAAGACGCATGAACAAGACCATCCACTCCACATAAGAAGGCCCGATAAGCATAAAAAGGTGAAGCCAGCCAGGTTGATATGAGCAAGTAAGGCTCACATAGGCTACAAAGCAAAATAAAATATATAGATGATCAGGCATGATCATAAATCATTCAGTCACACTAGACTTTGAGCAGCAGCATTTCAAGGAACAAGATAAATACTACTGGGTGTATTATTTCAAAAATCCAATTCCCAATGCCAACAACATAATTTACAATAAAAAGGGAACAAAATTACTACAGAAAATATCAAGAAAACTCCATTATTATTGTTCCTCATTTAATAATGCTGATGACGACGACGACAATAATTATATTGTCATAACTATTATTGTCATTATTGTTACTATATTATTGTTACTACTTGTAACATGCACCTGCTTCGCAGGTCACATTGAAATATTATACATAATATAATATTGATAGATTTTTTATCTTTTTTTTTATAATAATATTGATAGAAGTATTATAAAAACCAATATCATGAATTAGGAATGGGGTTGAGGTCAAGGTGGTAGCACCACCTGTGACTCAGCTACCCGTTTCAGTTTCCATTCCTACCAATGCTAACCCCTTTTGAAAACTGCAAACGGTTTCAAAAATTGCTAACCCACTACTAGCAGTTACCGTTCAACATATATATAAATATATATATATATATATATATATATATAAGAGAAAAACAACTCTCTTTTTATGCAATGTGACAGTTGATTTTTTTTAAAGAAACAAAATAAGAATAATATTTTACCATGGCATGAATTTCACCATATTTACAATATTAACCAAAAAACTCTCCAAATAATAAGGAACTAATCATGATAAAGATATTTATAATTCTAGTGTTATTGATATATGATTATAATTACAGTACGATATTATAATTATAGTATAAGGATCGAATGATGATGATTGATAGTATAATCATAGTATTCTTGCATGTTATAATTACACCATGGAATGATTTGTAGATTAGAACACCTACTAATTATGTTTATAATATTCGCATTATTCATGAACTTAATTATAAATTAAATCATTTAATAAAACTAAATTAGCAATATTTAATTTGAATTCTAATAAGCTGTTAATAACATTATACAAGATATATAAAAGTAATAATTCATAATTTTTATAATCATATAATTTGTGATAATATAGATAATGATGAAAGGATAAATGACAGACAATTAGTGATAGAGTTAGTGCACAAGAAAGATAACTATCAAAAAAAAAAAGATTGAAATAGATAGCGAAAGAACAAAGCATAAATTAAAAATCAATAGGGAAAAATTGACGTAACAAAAGACACTTGTCACAAAAATAAAAAAAGCCCCCTTCTCGCTTAGTACATAATAACAATAGATATTGTTATAATTATTATTTGGTTTGTGGGTGAGTGGAAGTAAAACATGTTGTTTATGTCCATTATTAAAACACGGCATGAACACAATAATGTTACCTCGACAAACTAAAATCTAGAGCATTTAGAAGCCACCTCTATTCAAACAATTGGTGAAACAATAGTTATGGGGATAACATGTACCTTCCACTCTGGTCTGATTGAAAGCTGCGAAAATGATCAAAGACTGGTAATAGATCTTTTCTCCTTATTTCAACCTCACAAATTGGGATCTTCTCAATCTCTATTTCCCCTCCATAGTTACCATTCATACCGAATTTCTCATCAGCCGATGTAGGCATCATCAGATAGAAACGTATCTGGCATGCACATAATAACTTGTTCTCAACATTATAGAATACCAACATAGAACACTAGGATGCCATCTCATGAGTGATATGTTCAGTAAATAATTAAATGACTTTATTAAAGTTTTTACCTTAGATTTTTGCCATATTGGAATTCTTCCTGAATTTATCTGCACTTCAGCATTGGATATATAAACATGAAATTTCTCATCACATTTCACGGAATCATTTGCTATCACCCCATTCCTAGGCAAACCACAGGAACTTGTTTCATCATTGCTATAACTGACATTATCAATCGGCATTCCATTAACTGAAGGTAAACTGTGCGTGATGCCAGAGATATTTTCCTCTCTTTCAGGCCAACTTGTTCTCCGACAAACATCCCACCATTGAACAGGCTCAGCAAGAACCTTGAGTTCCTCATCTCTATTAGGGCTCAAAGACCCAGGTCCAATTCTTGAACCATTGCTATAAGAAACGTCAGTTCCAGAGGATGGAAATAAGACATATTGAATCACGTGGCCTGAAGGAGAATATACCAATAAATTCTCCAGTAAATTGTCTCTCGAGGTATTTGATTGAAGCCCAATAATAATTGAATTGTGGAAAACTGCAGCCATCGCACCAGAAGGCGAGTGTGCCTTCCCTGTTGCAGAGGCTGCAACACCACTAACTGTGTTTAGCCAACCGCCATTACCATTTTTTATCCTGCTTACAGTGGCTAGGGTAATTGGGGCTGGAGGAGGTGGAAAGTTATGCTGATTAGTACTTAAAGACCCTGAGGTTGACCACCATGGTAAAAATAAATTTGGCAAAGAATGGAATTCATTCTCGCGAGCAGTAAAACTATGAACACCAACATCCCCTCCGAAAGGAGAAAGAGCAAATATATGGCAGGTCCCCCTCGACGAGATAATTGCAACCCACTGACTGTAATTGCTGAAAACAATGTCTTGTATGACCTGATAAACATTACAACAAAATAAGTAACCACAAGTCAGACTCATATGGGAAACATTACCAAAAAATAAGCAACCATAATTGTATACATATACAGGAATACAAAACAAATCAGACTCTAAATTAGCTAAAATGAGAGTTAGGCGCTTACAGCTGTTGTGAGTCCACGGTATAGCTTGTAAAGATGCACGTGTGATGAACTCCAGTCATAGGTTGTCGAACTATTTTGGACACGAGATGGAATAATGCGGAAGACATTTAAGTTGTTTCCATGCACAGATGCAGTAACTAAAAGAGTACCACTCGGGTCAAAACTTATGGCAGATATGGGACTCGTATGAGCTTTGAAATGTGCAATAATAGCTTTTGAAGTAAAATCCCTAACAGCAACCTGCAAAAGGACTAATTGTTTAGATTAGTGATTTAAAAAACGGATCGGTGCCCCGGATCGGGCACTTCAAAAACCCATCCGGATCGATGAATCGGCGATCCGGATCGGTAATCGGCCGACCCGGTCGGATTAAGCTCTAAGAAAATCCAAAAAAATTGTTAAAATTAATTATAAATCTTGTCTTTTAGGAATCCAATAAGAAATGAGGGTACTTCATTGTTAACTTTCACTTTTTTCATCAATTTGTGAATATTGATATGTTTTTTCTCTGTATAAACTTATGTTAACCATTAAATTTGCATCACACATAAGAAAAATCATATAATTCTCTTGGATAAAATATATAATCATACATAGACTACTATAAAGAGTAGATTTAATCGATAAAAAATGGCCATCAAAATCTCAAATTGGCGGAAAGCCCTAATCCCCTAAAAAAACCCAAATTATTACAAACTAACTATAATCCAAATTTATTACAACCTAACTAACTATAATGTTATATACTGAAATTAAAATTGTTGGTTTAAATTTTATAATTATTTTATTATACAAATAATAATAAATCCAAAATATTTTGAAATACGATCTAATTTAAAATGTATTATTGAGAACTGTAAGAAAGATAATAAATTACAAGATTTATAATGCAAAAATTAATAAATAAAATAAAAATTTGGTTAGAATTTATTAGAATGCATACCAATTTTCAAAAGAACACTTTAATTTTTCAAAATTTTAATTTTTTAAATTTCTAGAATAAATTTAGTAAAAGAGATTGTTAATAGAAAGATAGAGATTTCAAATGGAATAAATTTCTTTAAAAAAAATTAATTTTTTCGATTTATAGAATAAATTTAGTAAAAAAAATTGTTAATAGAAAGAGTTTTTGTTGTCAACAAAAATAAAATAAAATGTGTCCAAGGCGGAATCGAACTTGAGAAGTGAAGGCTCTATCATGGAAGTGATAACCACTCCGCCACATCAGCGCAAGTGTAACTGCTTTTAATATTAATAGTACTTATCCAAATTCTGTCATAATTTAACGCAACATGGGAATTATCCCACATCCAAATAACAAGTTTTAGTTTTGCGTCTATAAATTGCTTTGTAAGTTTCTCGAGGTTGCCATCCACGCGCAGCCAGTGGGAAACTGTAGTCCCATGTGTGGACTACAGAGAATCGGTGTTGTTTTGGCACGTGCTAACTCGCTATGTGACGTCATACGAGCGATTTTCACCCGAGTATGACGTCACAAGCAGATCACTCTGTAGAACCAGCCGGTTCTGTTCTAGAACCAGGCGGTTCCCGATTTTACACTAAAATCGGCACGGGGTAACCGATTCCCGTGCCGACTCGGGCGAGTCTGTTACGACTCGCCGATTTTTAAATCACTGGTTTAGATATATAAACAATAGATAAATGTTTTGTTCTCAAAAAAGGGAAATTTACACATTTTTTAGTTTTTATATTAAAAATGGTCACATATATTTCATATTTACAATCAAATATTAATTTAAGACCATAAAGTAAATTTTAGTTTTTATCTTTTTTTCTATATATTTGATTAAGCTCAAACTTTGTATGTCCGCACTTCTCACCATTACACAACTAAAAAATATATTAAAAAATAATTTAAAATAAATAAAATTACCAAACTACCCCCAAAAACTAAATACATTTTTATGTTATTGAAAAATGGAACTTGACTGTAAAATATAAAACATGATTTATTTGTGAATTCCCCCACCCCCCCAAAGCTCAAACTTTGTATGTCCATACTTCTCACCATTACACAACTAAAAAATATATTAAAAAATAATTTAAAATAAATAAAATTACCAAACTATCCCCAAAAACTAAATACATTTTTATGTTCTTGAAAAATGGGACTTGACTGTAAAATATAAAACATGATTTATTTGTGAATTCCCCCACCCCCAAAAAAAGAATATCCTTGTGTAGCTAACATGAGAAAAAGTTTATTTTCTTCGTGGCAGGTGGAGGAGGAGCCAATTTCTCAATAATTGTTGATAGTGATAGAGAACATCATATTTACCAATCGAAAACTGAAATCCAATAACACTCACCATCCCGGCATTATCTGTTTCACTTGGATGTGAACCTGATACAACTCTGTTTACTTTCCAATTTGCGTTTGATGATACGGGAGAGTTGGAACCATCTGGTAAAAGTTCTTGATAATATTTAGAAAAAGTCTTGTATCCAATATCTCCCAAATTAATTATCCCAGCTGCAATTTGTTTGGTAGACTCCTTTGCATAGCGGGCCACCAAGCTCCCGTTTCCAGGAGAAGTTGATGGACTAACACCAGGAGAGGGTGACAGATTCTGAGGGCTTAGACGCCCAGTGTTTGACGTTAAGGCATGGTTTGAAGCATAAGCCAACCAACTTGGACCTACAGCCATTGGACCATAGCCTATATTAACCCCTACCACTCCTTGTCCATTCAAAGTGATAGGATACGTGAGTACACTGAACTTATTTTCAAGAGTGACAGCATCAAAGCAGTATATCTGCCACAGAGAAAAGGATAGCAGTCACCCTATGAGGCTCATTTTAATGGATAATATATATTAGTCAATTAGAGAGTAATGTATATTAATCAACAATGGGAGTTATAAAACAATTTGCACCCAGCACAAACAAGCATATATGCAATAATACGTAGGAAAATAAGGGAAAAAAAGAGAAAGGGAGATGATGAGAGAGAGGATGGGTAAAAGAGAGAGGAAGGGAGAGGAAGAATGGATAGATAGAGAGGGAAAATGGGGGAGGAAAGAGAGGGAGAGGAAAAAGACAAAGGAAATATGAGAGTAGTGAAGACAAAAGAAAAGGGAACAAAAGCTAAAAGACTCATATTCATCCAACATTCCATTAAAAATCTATTCCTCTTGTGTGTTATCTCTGCTGGTGAAGGAAATTTTTGGGCTACTTACTTGGGCTGCAATGGCCACAGCCACAATTCGAGGACTGCAACGTATAGCAAAAACTGTGGATCGAAATCTCAGCACGTGTACGTAGTTATGAGACCTTAGTGAATAAAACCGTACAACAGTGGGATTTGGAACATTGCCTCCTTGTTGAGTATGAGTTGATGAACCGTCATGAATCTGTACAGTGTTAAAGGTTCCATCACCCGCAACAACCAACAATAGAGGATGGGATTCTCTGAATCCTTCTTCCCCGTCGGTCTTTGCCGGTATGGGCTGCATTTGTAAGAATGTAACAGCACCATCACGCTTTGAAACCAGTTCCTGAAAATTGGAAGCATCATCCACATCAAGGACCTGAAACCCAGTTGAGTAACCAAGTAAAAGGACATGTTTGAACATGGATGGACCAATCTCCAGCCTGTCAAATCCAGCCCATTGTACCTGTTCAAGTAGAAACAAGTAAGAAAAGTGGAAAATCGAAAAGAAATACATAACCACATTGGCCTTGCGAATAAGGATAGCATCCATGCCAGCATCTTTTGTATAACATGTTGGAAAAACTCGGATTTGAATAGAGGGAATGGAATCATATGCACAGCCACATATCATTATGGCATGCAAAATGTAGGAAACCCTACATTTGAAGTAGTTTGTATATGCCCTTGAGGCTATCATAGAAGATAGGCAAGAAGAAGTCTAAGACTCTTAAGTTGAGAACGAAGACCTTATAGTCCATACATCATACAAATGTGAGACACAATGCCATAATTATCATCCAAATAAAGATATACAAGCAAATTATGGAACTATAAGTATTCCGTCAATCAACCCATTTGAATATTCTACTGCATCCAGGTACAGATTCAACGCAAAAATGAGAATATCTGCTTCTAAGAGATGTAGCTTCAAAGGAATGTCCATAGACCTATGGGGAACAAGAATCACATGCATAATGGCTCTCTCTCTAAAGAACGTATCCATTACATGTCTGAGCAATCTCAATTCCCAGATAATACCAATGAAGACGAGTATTCTTTATGAGAGACCCAGTTCCGATTGATTCGTGATGTTTGTGTCATAGACGTACTTTTGAGACCTCATGCAACTCGTACAAATCAATGTCCCTCTTAGACATTTTTTTTAGCTGCACCTTACAACGACAGAGAAAAACATCCTTAAGCAAATGCATGATCCATGGAAAAGTGGTCAAAGTTTCTGGTACTACTAAATCTATCTCAACATGTTTGACAACGATTCATACAATTATCTCACTATCTGTATTAAACCAACAATTTACAAAACATACAAATCAATATAATTTTAATTTTTTTACAAAATCAAAGGTAAAAGGCAAAATAATAAAAAAGGCTATCCATAACTGATAATCCTTAGCCAGATAAGTGCCCAATCAACAAAAACTTGGGCCCCACAAACTGGATAATTGCACACACAAACATAAATTTCAAAACAAAAATAGAATAAGATTCATAAAACAAGCACAATCCTAGCCAAAGAAGTAATCAAATAATTTCATCAAAATGGATTCAATCAAATAAGATCTATCATACATGCCCAATCAAGGCCAAAAAGAAAGGAAGCCACAAGCATGAATCATCAAATAAGCAACCCCCATCTCAAAATAAAAACAATAGAAACATATTTAATAGAAAAAAAAAAATACCGATTGAACAGAGATCCATGCATGGGCAGATCATCAGAAACAAACCACAAAAAATATAAAAAGCTACCAAAATTATCAAGACCCAACTTCAAAAAAAAAAAAAAACTGACTGAATAACAAACAAATGAGCAAGATAAGAAGCGGGGCCTTATAAAATACGAACGAATTCATAAGAAGAAACACGAGAGAGAGAGAGAGAGAAGAGAATAAGGAGGAGAATGAAAACCTGGTCTCTCTCATCTTCATGAGGAGAAATGGAGGCAGCAACAGAGGCACCAGCGGAGCACACGGTGGAAGCTACGGTGGTTGCATTTGATGACACAGTCTTGAGACATGAAGATAAGATCCTGAGAGAATTTGGTAGCAAACCCCCTCCTCCTCCTCCTCCTCCCTTTCCTGATCTCCCCTCATTCTTCATATCCCTCCTCTTCTTCCCCGATTACCACTCTCTCTCTCATCACCACCATCTCCGCACTGATAACCCACCCATCTCCATCTGTCTCTCTTCCCCCCACACGAAAACAACGAATCAATCAATCCAAATTATCAAAAAAAAATTTGTTCTCCGTTTCTCTCTCCTCCAGCTCTTTATCTCTCTCCTCCTCTGCCCTCCTTAACTTGACCCGCAAACATCTCTCTCTTCCCCGTCAAGCTTTGGATACCTTATGGCCGCCGATTGTTGAGAGTATAAGACATATTACTTCTGTCTCTAAACGCACCTCTTCTCTTTCTCTCTCCTCTCACCCCTATCTCGATAAACCACTCTCCCTCTTTCTGCAAAGAAAAATATATATTGAAAAGACCCAGTTTTTACTGGTCTCTGTCCAAAAAAAATAAATGAAAAGACCCACTTCTTACTTTTCTCTCTCTCTCTCTCTCTCTCTATGCACGAGAGCTACATATTGTTTTCATTTTCTCTCTGTAGATAATGAAGAGACGGTGGAATTCGGAGAGGGTGGAGAGAAATACGGGATAGAATCATTTAGTAGAGAGAGAGAGAGAGGTCAGCACGACGTTGGTTTTTGGTCGCTTTTTTACTTAACCGTATTGACTAAATCGAATGACGATTGGTTTCTCAATTTTACGGTGGTTTTTTACTATTTATTTTTAGTCACATTAATCTTGACTATTAAATATAAAATTAGGTGGTTGTAATTATTCTATTGATCAAACTCAAATTTCAAAATAAATTTTTTTGAACTTTATATTACATCCAAGCTATCAAATTTCACATCCTACAGTTGTAAGTAATTTAGACCACCTTGTATCAAAGATAAATAGTCTTATTGTTTATTTTAAAATAAAAATAAAAAATTACAATGACTTACTTATTTAAATAGTTTTATTGTTTATTAAAAAAAAAAAATTACAGTGATTAACTTATTTTGATTGTATGTTTTTTGCCCTTTTCTAAATTGATGAAAGTGCAAAATACATATTGTGTCCGTGAAAATCTTATTTGCTAACAACCCCTCAAACCCTAAATAATCAAATTAGGGGACGCCTTAAAATTACGTAAAAATAGATTGTTTTGGATGTTTAAAACTTTCATTTCAATCATCTCAACCTCAAGATTGATTGACACGAGAAAAAATAGATTTCAAATCTTGGAAATAGTGTGTCTTGTAATGTATTATTTAGATCGTCAAATTTTAAATGTTTCGATGTACATTATTTTTAAATGAGTAATGACCCTATGAGACCCTCCCACACCCATGTGTGTAGGACTTCAAAGAATAACCATTAAATTTAACGCATAACTCTAAAAAAATTATCATATGGGTGTGGGACTTGACTTTTCTATAAATCGGTACCAAATTTAATAGTGATCATTTGGGATCCTACACACATAGATGTGGGAGGGTCTCATAGGATCATTATTCTTTTAAAACATATAAATTTTGTAATTAGAAATGAAAATAAATTTTAGATAAATTTATTATTCTAAAACATCATATTTGAGCACTATTTGAAAGTTTTAATTGTTTAGGCCTAGGCCGTACACAAACGACACCCATTTAAAAGTTCTCTCTAGTTTGAAAAGTCACTACTAATTTATTATGATCTCTCAATATTAATGTAGTAAAATACATTTTCATGTCAAATTTGACCTCATACATGGGGAAAATGGGGTCCTATTCGTCCTTTTGAACACATTCACAAGGTACTTGTACATGTTTGGTTAGAACTCCATGACTTTGTGAGAAAAAGATAGTATATATCCGATCATTTGTGAAAATTCAAAAAGACTCGCAGTTGTCTCATATTGATAAAATAACTAACTGTGGACTGGAAATAATCTCATGAAATGACATCAACAACTTCTATTGTATCATAATCAATTTGTTGCTCACTCATTCTCAACCGTTCGATCAAATTGGAAATCCAGTTTGCATAAATCACATTTGCACAAACACACATGAAAATCCGTTTATAAATTACAGGGAACTTTATCAATTTACTCATTTGAGATGAACAATTTAATATTTTGTGCAAATCGTTTGGTTTAATGTAAAAATGCCTAATAGAAAATCGCACGGTCTTGAGTTTGAATAGTTTCATTATGGAAAATTGTTAAATACTTCATATCTAATGGGTATTTTGATAGTTTTCCCTCGATAAAATTCTCAACAATTAATGCCCAGTATTTCACCTTTTCCAAGTAAAATACATATTATTCTATTAAAATTCCATTTAATTTTGGTTCTATACTTCACCATCGACATAATGAGTTCTTGATTTTTCGTATTCATGCTTCCTTGTGCAAGTGGTTGTTTGAGAAGGATAAACAACCCACTTGGCCATCTCTCATCCCCCTAACAAAGACAAAAAAAAAATTTATTATTTTTGTGAGAAGATAGCCTATTTTAAATTTTGGGCCAAACAAATGGCCCTAATAATGATTTTTAAATATCATTTCATTTATATTACTGTAAAACTGTTGCATGAAATCACTATCCATATATATAGGTTTTGTTATGACACTCACACTATAGATCAATATATAATTGTACTCAACAAATTTTGGACACTTATATAACTTTGTTTTTGTAATACAATATTTTTTGGGAAAAGTTTATATAGTATCGAGGCTCTAAACAATTAAATTCGAGCATGCCTCAATTTTTTTACTAAAATAGGTTGTTTAGATCCCCAAATATCCTCATTTTGATCATATTGACACCACGATGGATAGACATGATCACAAAAATGGATTTCAAGTTTTGGAAATAGTGTATTTTGTAACGCATTTTTTATCGTGAATTTTAAAGATTTGCAAGTTTTCATAGATCTTTCGATCTACATTATTTTTTAAGCTTTAAACTTTATAAATAAGTATGAAAATATATTTCAAGACTATAAAAAATATTTTCAATATTGAAACCACATTTCTCAACACTATTCGAAGGTAGGCTCTAATTTGATTGGTTAGAGCCTGGGCTCTATACAAACCCCACCCATATTTTTATAGGGGAATAGTTTATATAGAGCCTAGGCTCTAAACAATCAAATCAGAGCTTACCTCAAATATTTCGCTAGAATGTGCTATTTTGATGCCCAAATATCCTCAAATTGATCATATTGACATCAAGATTCATGGACATTAAAAAAAAAAAATGGATATCAAGTTTGGGAAATAGTGCATCTTGTAATGCATTTTTTTACTGTTAATTTTCAAGATTTTAAAGTTTTCATAGATCTACCTGATCTACACTATTTTTAAATCTTTAATTTTTATAACTAGAGAAGAAATTATATTTTAAGGCTTTCATAAAGATTTTCAGTTTTAAAATCACATTTCTCGTCACTATTTGAAGGTGGGCTCTACTTTGATTGTTTAGAGCCTCGACTTTGTACAATCTACACCCTTTTATTAGTAAATACATATTTGTATTATTATGAGGGGTGTGACATCATCCAAGTATCACCGGCATGGAGCATTAAATATAACTAGTTTGTTCTATGTGGATGATGCCACACCTCTCATAATAACAAAAAAACACCCATACTAAATAAATGCTCCATGTAATAAAACAATGGTATATTAGTGTACCTAAATTTGGTTGTAG